TAGGTCCTTCCTGCTAGCACACACACACACACGATAATGGTAATGCAACTTCTTGTGATCCCAAAAGTGCAAAGGGAGCACTAGAGTGGTGCACATCCATCCAACCCGAGTATATCTGTGTGGGTTGGGGCATAGCCAGGGTCACGCTTCTCAGATAGTGGCTTAAAGCCCATCACAGTAGAGAAGGGATATTCCTTTTATATAGGGGTCCCAAGAGCCATTGTGGAGTTTGCCCCCTTCAGCTTTCTGGAGGCATTACATCTTCTTTTGATAAACAAGTATAACAAGGTACCTGGCGATCACCAGTCTACTGTATTCTCTACCTTCTCCTCTCCATAACACACCACTGATTTTAAGAGCCAACACTTACCCCATATTCTAGGACACCAAGGCTACATATATGAGACACTCTTTGCTCGAATAAACAGAAGCTAGCTAGCCAACCCAAAATAGGCCAGTTTAAACCAGAACACAAGCTTTTATTTAATCCTGTCCCCCAACATAAAAGATCCCTAATATCTAAAATACATTACATTATTCACTTTACAGAGGCGAGATGTCTTTGCACAATTTGTGGCAGTGTAGTCAGATGAAACCCATGCCCAAGTATTCAGGCAGAGCTTAATTTTTTTTTCTTAACTTTGCTCTGAAGCGTAATAGGCTGAAGTACAACGGTACAACTGAATCTGTGCAGTAGTGCTTGACTTTAAATGAACAACTGTACTATATGTAAGTAGTATTTCCCAAATTACTTTTGCTTGTATGAGAGATAGTCATGGGTACTCTGGAAGTGCACTGGAATTCCAGATGGAATGAACACTCCCTTCCCAGTTCAGAGTGAAGATAGTGATAGTGCCGTGTGATGACGGTTCTTTTGTTTGTTAAGTGCTACTATGCCCAGGTGGTGTGACATGCCCCTCTCCCTCCCCCATCCCAGCCCTCAGAGCCATGCAGAGGGGCACTCCAGTGGAGATTTAAAAGGCCCAGGCTCTGGCCACCACCACTGTCTCAGTAGCAGTAGCGGCAACTAGGAGCCTCAGGCTTTTCTGAATTGCCAATTTCTGGGGCAACTGTCCCCTTTCCCCCCATCGGTGGGGCTGACTATGTCACTACTGTGCAAGACAGTTGCTTTCACTGAATTGAAGACCCAACCCTTTGGGTATCACAAACAAACTGCACAGTTCCATGGACTTTTACTATAAAGGGATTTGAGTGCTACTCATTCACTGGAAACCTCAGCTCAAGAGTGAAATACTGTTTGCTTTCTTGAAAATGACAGACAAAATGTGTGAACAAGACATAGTGATGTTCAGCGACCATTCCATGATTTATACCAAAATACTGATCATTCTAACATTTACAGGGAATGTTATTATCCCACAATCAGCTTGATTTAGAGAGTTTGTTTTTCACAGAGTACAAGGTCTTTTACAGTATTCTAGTCATCTTCTTAGCATATTTTGGTTTGCTTTCTCTATACTAGTTGATGTCCTTTAACCTGAAGGATACATGCTAATTAAAGACTGTGAGGGCAATTTTTTAAAGTAGGTGACTATCTGCATGATAACCATTTTCCCTTTTGGTTATTCACATAGCAAGTTAGGGATTACCTGTTGATTAATGCTTTCAGCTGCCTAAAGCCGTTGACATTCTACAGACTGACTGCATCAGATAGGGCAATGAGCAATTTCTTATTCCATGGAAATGGCATAACAGCTTCAGACTTTTTGTACCCATAGAATGAGAGAGAGGAAATGCCTGAAGGATGCTAAACGTTAGTATAAAACTCATCTCTTTTCATATGTTCCTTTGCATCTTGCACTTTTTCTTTTTTTTAAATGAAGAAACCCCATTTTAAAGAAATATTTTCATAAAAATCTGTAAATTTAAAATAGCAGTTCTTCTACAGACAAAGAACCTTGAGCTGATTTACAGGACAAATGTGTATGTAAGGGTATTCCAGACACTCTTTTCCTTTACCACAGGCTTCATTTTTGTCATGTTTAGTTTTACATTGTCTATATTCTCTTCTCTTGGGGTATGTCTACACTACCCTCCTAGTTCGAACTAGGAGGGTAATGTATGCATACTGCACTTGCTAATGAAGCCTGGGATTTGAATTTCCCGGGCTTCATTAGCAAGTGCGGTATGCATACATTACCCCGCTAGTTCGAACTAGCGGGGTAATGTATGCATACCGCACTTGCTAATGAAGCCCGGGAAATTCAAATCCCGGGCTTCATTAGCAAGTGCGGTATGCATACATTACCCCGCTAGTTCGAACTAGCGGGGTAATGTATGCATACCGCACTTGCTAATGAAGCCCGGGAAATTCAAATCCCGGGCTTCATTAGCAAGTGCGGTATGCATACATTACCCCGCTAGTTCGAACTAGCGGGGTAGTGTAGACATACCCCAGTAGAGTAAGTGTGGTTTCCTGTCAATGGTGATAATCAAAATAATAACTAATCAGGTGTTCCTTCTCATTGACATTTATATAATAAAGACAATGAAGAACATGGCAAGTTTGCAAATTGTACATTGTTAAGTTAAATGAAAAAGTATTCGATGCTTCAAGGGGAGGCTGGATGGATACTATGTCCAATGGTAACAACAGATACACCTGAGAAGATTGAAACTATATTTCACTTTTGCTGCTGGCATACTTCATTCGTTTATGACTCCCTGGAGCCCTGAACAGGTGGCTTTTCTCAACTACCTCAGTGTTCAATTCTATGGTCATCTGTTCCAACTCACAGAGGTCCCATTGTCCTCTTTCACATCTGACTCTTAATTAACACATTGATTTGCTTTTTCCGCAAGTCCCCCTTTCCACCCAAGGCAAAAGTAGTTTTAGCAGGAAGCAAATATTGATTCTTCTGATGGCCTGGCATCACATTTGTCTAGTGGGACTAGGGAGTTTACATGATGTAGAAAAGGAAACAATGCAACGGTCTCTCTTTTTCTGCTTAGTATACTCCTTAATTCCATTCTTTATTCAAACATTGTCTCTTACACTTTTGTCACCTACCAAAGAGTGTACAAAAGTCAGCATAATACACCAGACTGCAATAGACTCTGATCACTTAGTATTCTGTACTGCTGCAACTTATATCTTGCTATACTTACACTAATACCAGTAAATTGGATATGATTATGATTGATTAGAAAACAGAATTTCCATCCCATGGAAAATTCAGATATTTTGACTTTTGTTTTCATTCTGAATTGGGTGGAAAAGTCAGAATATCAAAAATGATCACAGAACAAGACATTTTAAAAATGCAGTTCAGAAATGTAAAAGCAAGATATTTGCATATTTTTGACTAAAATATTTTAAACGAAAAAAAGGTTTTGAATTGGTATTTTGACTTAACATGAATTAAAAAGGTATTTTTAGGTAATCAAACCATTTCATTTTGTGTGGAATGTCAGCATAAAAGAAATGTTTTTGTTTTCACTATCTGAAGAGAAAATTAAAATGTTTTGGTAAAACTGACATTTTCTTAAGAAGATATAGACTTTGATGAAAACATATTTTCCAGTAAGGACATTTTCCAGATAACATTTCTCTCTCACTCCATTCCTTTTTAACCTTTATTTATTTCTCTCTAAAACAAGCACATAAACCTGAAACACCTCTCTTATCTATTGCAGTTGTATACACCCTCTTTTTTCTGCACTTTCCCAGCAAAACAAATTCTTTCTAAGCCATTTTTACCTTTGGAGAGTAAATAACTCCAATAGGGTGTAAATCAAAAGCAGGCTCTTACCAATTTCATAAACTATAGTCTGAAAGTCTCCAAAACCTGTCTGTCCTATAGGAGATTTTCTGCCATGCTGAATGAATTCCCAATTAAACTGAGTTCTTGTAAATAATGATATGCTCACTGCACATGAAATTTATGATGCAAGAGCTGTAGATGTACAACCAGGCTTTGCTGGTTTATTCCCTGGCCTCATCAGCTTCTCAAGCTATCCAGAATCTGACTTGAGTTGGATGGAAGAACTCCAAGGAACATCTTGGTGCTGCAGAAGTAGCACTGGTGGTGCAGTGGTGACGCTGAGTACAAGGTGCAGGGAAGTACAAGTTATACTTCTTATATGGGCACAATAAATAGTACTTCTCCTTGGACTCTTCCTCTAGTGCATAGCAGATGTTATATTAAAGGTGCTTCATTTTCAACCTGGCAAGGACCAAATGTAGGATGCAATGTGCGACAAGGAACCAGAACAAAGTACTGGGGGATTCATTATGTTTGTATAAGTAATCCATTCTAAAACCTCAGATTTGTGATCCTGCACCTCTGATGAACAATCTTTTACAGTCAAAGTGACAGGAGGGTCAAGTGTATGTGTCACGCTAGGGGGATCTCTCAAGAAGAGGAGGTATGCTAAGGTACACTCCCTTGCACTGCTGCTCAGACAGTGCCAGCCCAGCTCCCATCCTCACAAGGCTCAGCCTTAGAGAAGGCATAACTCAGCCCAACATCTGAGCTGGAAACAGAGGATGCTGCTGCATCAAACCCCCTACAGTAAAAGACACAGGGAAAAATTAAGCAGCGCCTTTGTTTGCTTCTAAGTCCCCTTATTTTTCTTCACCGGAACTAGAATAAGACCCTGACCCTTACTGACTCGTTCAGCTCTGAACAGATTACGACCCTGGCGGAACCATGGAAAAGAAGGGCTACTCACCCACTACTCCTCGCTGCAATCACATAAATTGGTGAGGGGCATGGATTGGGAAGAATTCCAGCTCTGTGGACATGACAAGTGGCTGGGCCTACAGGAGGAAGGAGGGGCAAAGGGAAAGGGGAGCAAGCTGATCCATGAAATGGAGTGGGGTACCATATTCCTTCCTCCGAACAAGGAAAAATAGGGGATGCACTGCGATTCTCAGAGCCCCAATTCATTCTCTAGTCTTTCCTGGGGCAATAGAGTCACATGTTACCTTTTACTCCAGACAGGTTGAGAACACAGTCGAGCCCATCATAAGCCCCGTGTGTGGAGGTTCAGATGTGGGGTATCATGTACAATACTCCAGGGGAGAGAGTTGGAGACCCATGTACATGCAAAGACGTGAAGGACCCTGAGCCCAGAAGGAATAGTTAGAGGTAACTTTCTTCTTGGTAATGCCATTCTTTTAAAGCTTTGTAAGTTAAACTGAAATATCTCACAATACCTTCCTTCCACTTAGATCAAATCCACTGTTGCTTGGACACCTTGAAATTGGTGATCATATGATCATCAGAGTGCAGGCCACAAACCCTTTTTGTTTTTATCATATTGCTCATCATGTATCTCCTTTAGCTATTCCATTCCCTTTCCCCCTCAACATTCCACATTTTGATCTTCCTTGCTAACAAAATGGCAACTTTTCATCCCTATTTTCATTACCAGACTACATCTGCTTTAAAGTGGTTACAACAAATAGTTGAAGTTGTATTCATTTTTAGTACAAATAATGTGGTTCATGGAGTTATGATCAGAAGTGTTTATAATATGTGAGAAGCTCTGTAATAGCCAAAGCAGAATTACCTCTTCAAAAAGAAAATGGCAAGCAGTTTCTACAGAGTTTATATAATTTCCTAGTTACTAAAACTTCTGTACCTGCATATACAGATCTTCATAATTTTGGTATTTTGGCCAAATAATTTACTATTAAATATCAAATACTTAATATAAAAAAAAGTTAAATTTATTCATGTCAAATGTTTTTTATTTGATGACATTTCAATTTCTACACATGCCTGAGGAAGGGGCATTCCTAAACTGCAGGCTTGGACAACTACTTAATTGGATATTTTATGAATGTCAAAACTTAATAGAGATGTAACAGACACGGCGGCAGCTCCACCCTCTGGCACTTCGATAGACTGATCTGTGTTTTGTGAAGTGATATTACCATTCAGCGGATCAGTGGGCTGTGTTTCTTGCTGTGCCTCGGTGAGATCTTTCTGGTTTGGATCAGAATTAGTGAATTGCTCTGAGCTGGAAGCACTAGGTGGACAGTCGAAAGTTATAACTTGTAGGACGAAGGTACTGGGAGTGGAGTTTGTTGATAAAGGCATGTCATCGCTTCCCTGACTACTCTCATTTTGTGTCCTTGTTGTTTCCTCCTGTAATTGTGCATCTGCAGGTTTTCTGCTTTGGTCTTTTTTCTGTTCACCAACATTTCTCACAAGTTCTTCTACAGAAAAGAAACAAAATATGATAATTAGATATGGGATATATGCTCCAGTTGCTTTGATTTCTAAGCAATGGCTCTGTTCTAGAATTGGACTTGGAAACACTGTTCCCAGGGGAACTCTCACTTTTAGCATGAAGGCATGTGCACTAGTTTGTTTGGAGGGGTTCAAATTCTGATCTCGGTTACACAGATGCAGCAGAAGGGGTGGAGGCAGGATTGATCTTTAATAAGTACTCCCATCTGCAGTTTTCTGGGAAAAGCAGGGCACTCTTGGAGTGGGAAAGGATGGAAACAGGATGAGATGATTGTTGAGGGCAGTGCCACTTAGCAAAGCTGTTTATGGCAGCGACGCTGGAGGGAGCAGAGCTCAGCAGCTCCTGAGACAGGTAGAACAGGAAGGGCCTTGCAGAAAAAAGGGAGGGAAGAGAGATGTGGAAGCTCTGGAGGAGAAGGAATGAACCGTGGAAGGAGGAAGAAGGCAGCAGGGAATGAGACAAAGAAAGAGAACCCAAGATGGAGAGAGTTTTAGGGTGTTAATACACATTTGTGCTATGACAGTAACAACAGCAACAGTAGGGAGGAGACAAATCTCAAGGGAATAGTGCCTCAGGGGATAGACAGGAAGAAAAGGGAGAGACTGATTCAGGAGGCCAAAGCACAGTTGCAAGAAGTGATCTGGAGATAGGGAAAGCAAGATTGGGGAATGGCACAGAACTGAGAAAAGGGAAGTTCAGGAGGACAGCTCTTAGGTGTGAAAAAGAGAGTTTGGTAGCAGGAACTGGAGGAGAGAGACAGCAGGGGGTAGAGAAAATTATATGGGAGGGGGCAAAGTACACTTTAGTAGTGGGGATGGAAGGACTGAAAAGAAGAGGGCCAAATGTCAGATGAGGGCTGTTTTCCCTATTATGAGAACACCTGCCATTTCCTGTCCTTGGGTTCCGTTTTCAGATCCTTTGATATTCCTATGACAGATGTAAAGTATCCCCAGTTCTCTAAACTGATGAGCAACAGAATTTGAACTGTAACTCTATGAACTCTCTACAGATTACTGTGTGATTTCCCAAGCCCAAAGTTGTCACTATTATTGAATGAGGAAATCAAGACCCATTCCCAGCAATGTTGTTCAATTTCTCTTAGCACAATATTGCTAGCCTAACAGAGAACACAACTTAGCTGTGTGAGTGTTCAAACCTAAACTGAGGCCCAAACTGATCACATAGTATTATGGAAAGCAAGAAGAAGTATCTGTGCAGCATATACTGTAATCACATTACCATTATAAGTGGACTTCATCACCTTCATACCAATCCTCCGAGCACATTCCTTTGGAGTGCAATATGGCCCAGGACATGGGAAGTAGAAAAATGCTCTCTCCAAATCTGAGACTGGTTCACTAAGTGTTTGTTATATATGGAAATTTGAACAAATAGGTTGGAAGTTTGAACAAGTAAGTGCTTCCCCTTCTTTGTCAGTTGTTATGATTTTTTTAAGCCGATTATAGATTTTAAAAAGGGAGGACATTCACGTTTGGTTTATCAATCCAAACATTAGAGAACCAGGAAATTTTTCCTGGATTCTGTATCTGAAGGGAATTTTGATCTCTGAATAATTGTTGCTTCTTCAAGGGATTGCTGCAGAACTGCTAGACAGAACTGGCTGCATTAAAAAAAATACAAAATCTGTATGTGCAGTTTGGTAGCAATTTTCATGTAGGTATACCAAGTTATATTAATTAAAGCAGCTGTCATTCATGGCATAATCTACCTAAGGCTTTTGTCTCAAACAAACTAATTTACATATCATACTTGCTGATGAATGAATGCTTCCATATGGCAGAGCTACAAGCATTTTCCTTGATTTTTATCAGAAAGCCAAGGAAATTCCAAGACAAATAACGATATTTAAGTTGTATCAATAAACTGAGGAAAACCCGTAAAAGAATATTGAACTATAAAATAAATCAGAAAACAGAAAGAATGGGCATTATACATTACTAGAAGAGAGGAGGTATGTGCCATTAACATCATTCAAATAATCTTAACCTGTCCTGATTGTAAACAAACTGAAAATAATCCTCTTCTTATAACACAGTATGGGAGCAAAGTTAAGGTTAAATGTTCTTTAAAAGTCATTTCAGTACTTTCCATTTTTTAAATTCATGTTAATCTATGATTTCTAACTTTGAGGATGTTATATTCCATATTATTTTAAGATGTTTCACATTTAAATTTCTACTACTTTAAAGAAGGAACAGTAATTCAACTCAGGGTTCAGAATGTTTTCTGCCTAGGAAAAAGATGAAAAAATAGTTTTTTCACACCTGAGATAGTATTTCAGGAAAAATACAGACTGGAAGAGTAGTTCATGATGTCACTACTGATGCCTATACTGCTCAAGTTCATATCAGAACTTGATCTTTTGAAATATTTTCACCTTCAATACTCTCACACATCTCATCCTGTCCATTAAAAAACTGAGCATCTTAGAGGTTGCCATCAAAAGTCCAGCATTTGCTGACAGTTTTCACTCAACAGAACCCAAAATTCCACTGTATGTTCAGCTCCTTAGAACTGAAAATAAGAACCTGAATTTTCAGTGGAATTTTGGGTACTGTTGAGTGAAAACTGTTGGCAAATGTTGGATTTTCAATGACAACATCTATATGTCTGCTCAGCCTGATAACTAAAACAAATCTGGTATTCTTATCTTAACAAGTACACAATTATTTGAATATTATCACAAATTGATTAGGGTCTGATTATATTATTATCTTTGGTCACCCATTAGCTAATTTGCTAACTTAATTCATACAGTATATTTGATAGGAATGGGACTGTACCCTATTAATGATAAAACTCCCATTGGCTACAGTGACACCTAAGATAGGCTAATAGCATATTCACCCTGCAAAGCCTGTGTGTGCTACACATATTTTTTCCACCGTTAGAGGAAGGAGCCAGAGCTCCACCAAGATTTATGCTACAACTTTTGCTTAAAATCAGTCCTGAAATCTGACTAGTGATTACCATTCCACAGTGATAAAATCTCCATGTCACTCTTAGTTAAATCTGCCTGAAAAAAAGAAAAGTTAGCAGTCTGTTCTTCAAAAGTTTTGTCAGGGTAATCACGGAGCTGGGCTAATGGTTGGGATTCAGGTTCAGGATAGTCAGGTATAAATTCCTCAATGATGATATCATCGCTCTCATTTGGACCCAGACTCCTTGTTCTTGGTATCATGTCTCTCATCTCTTGCATATCTGACTCTATGTCCCGACCCTCCTTATTCCATGCAGGCTCATTCCCTATGAAATCCACTGCAAAACAGGAATAGAAAGAGAAGAAAAAACTAGGAATCCTTAGTTAATAGCATGCCTCAGCTATTTGTATGCTAGTGAGAAAATATAGAATGTTCCTTTCCATAATTATTAAACATATTCCTGGGTTAATTAGGAGCTCTATATTATATGGGAGGTCTAACAAAAACCCATGATCTGTAGTGTCTGCTGCTTGGTATCCAGCTCACTGACTCCGCCTTATCCGATCCCACTGCTGGGACAGATCCATTAGTTTCTAAATGAGGATGGGGTTCGAATTGGGGCTATTTGGTGATTTAACCCAGACGAGACAAAGGTAGCAGTGGCAACATGGGCACCAATTGCCTGGGTGCTCTAGGAATGGAGCATCCATGGGAGAAAATGGTGGGTGCAACACCCTAACAGCATCTCCTGCCTGCTGGTGATACTGCTGATCAGCACCTCCTTCCTCAGTGCCTCCTGCCCTCTGCAAATCTGCTGTTCTGTGGTGTGCAGAAGGTCCTGGGAGAAATGGAGGTGGCACAAGGAGGGCACACTCAGGGGAGAGGGTGGAATAGGGTGGGAAGAGGTGGGAGAAAGTGGGGCTGGAAGAGGAGAGAGGGCATCGTGGGGGGTAGGAAGAAGCAGGGTGCAATAGGGCCTTGGGCTAAGGGATGGAGTGAGGGCAGAGCCTGGGGTGGAGCTGGGTGCGGGAGCATCTCCCTGCATATTAGAATATCGGCACCTATGCTTGATAGGACAAGAGAATTAGACTAGCCTGATATGTTGGTCAGACCAGTGACCAACAAGTGTTCTGATTTCATAGCAGAGCCCCTGGCATTAGCCTCATCTCGGTGGATGGGCTGGCAAACGACACCAGTCACCCTGCAGCACAGCTTTGTGCAGTGTGAGATTCTTCCCCTGTAACGGCTCCCCCTCCCATTGACAGCCAGAACTCTAGTAAAGGTCCCACATAGACACCTTGAAATCATACCCAGCTCTCTCGTGGGCTTCTTTAGAATGCGGTCACTCCCTAGATTAGTGGAGGTACAACTGAACAAAAAAAGGGCTCGGATCACTACAGAGCATTTGAGAAATGATCTATTTTTCAGGGAGAATACTGCAGTCTCTGAAATGGGTTGTTTTGAAAATAAGATATTAAAACATCCCAACCTGTTTTCAGGTAAACTGCATAGTGATTTCTTATGGAGCTTCTTTTAAATGAAGTTGGCTGTGTCCGAACCTATTTCTGTAGAAACCCTTAGCCCAATCCTTAATGGAAGGTCATGAATCCCAGTGGTGAAAATAGGTGGTAACTTGACTATTTCACTGAAATCTTGAAACTTCATTGAATTGTTGTTTGCAGTGAATCAAAGGAATCAACTAGTATTACAGGTCATCTGACATCTTACTCAGCCCTTAAAACAAGACTACAGGAAAATATGAACTCTGTTCAAGAGCTAGATCCCTTCAGGAACTAATACCCACTTGCAGTTATGCATAAACACAATATCTATTGCTAGATTTATTAGCAATTGATCCATGTGGAAAAGTGGTTAATGACTAAGGATTACCATATGATTCTGTGGTCTCCATAATATCACTGTCCTGTTGCCGTAGAAGCTCTGGGTCTATATTATAAACTAACAAGTTGATTTCCATTGGCTCATCTGCATGACTATCAGGAGACTGTGGTATAGGATTTGTTGGTGGAGCTGAGAAAGGACAAGGTTTACTAGACTGCACAGAACCTTCTCTATGACTTGATGCTGTCTCCTGCATTCCTACATCTGTTTTTTTACTGTCTTGGTCTTTGCGTCTTTTACTTTCTTTTCCTGATACGTCTGTAGGAAGGTGAATGAAAGAGAGATGTAAACTTGCAACCACTCATTTGTAGAATAATGATCTTACATTTATAAGATGCATTCTGGTTAATGTTATTGCACCATTAAAATGTCTATGAACAAATGTGCCTGAGTGCATATGGAGAAAACAAAAATTTAAATTGCAGTAAAGCAGTACATCTAGATTCAGCCTATACTGCAACTAGTTAACAATAATTAATTTTTATACTGAAAAACTCCAATAAGTACAATTTTTGATTAATCAAATGATTGTTCCTTTACATATTGTAGAAGATAGCTAAAATAACTAAATTTGTTTACTTAATATCACCAGTGGCACTGAAGCAAATCAAACCTAATAGTTTACCAAATACCTATTAATGTCACTCCTGATCTCTGTCAACGGGAATGCAATTGGGTTTACAGCCTCTATAAAACCTTGGATATGCGTGATATCATCTTCATCATCTAGTTCATATTTTTATAGGCTTCTAAACACTTGTATGTCAAAAATTTGTGATCTAGAATCAATATCGTCAGTATAAGAAATGTCTTACTAGAACAAAGCTATAGATTTTTGCATTAGTGACATATTTATGAACATGTTTTTCATGAAACTACATCACAGTGAATCACCTCCACTCATCTTCCTATGAAAAATTACACAAAGCTCATGGCCAAGCAAAATAATTTTTTTTTTTTAAGGAAATCTCAACTCTATTCTAGGGTCTTCATATTCCTCTTCTCCACGCAGTCCTATCTTTAGCACACACAAAAACTTGCCATTGTCTGCACAAACTCCATGGAAACTGGTGGTTAGAAGTCCTGTGAATTGTAGCTCATAAAAGCTTATGCCCTAATACCCTGACTAATTCGTTACACTTTAGAATGCCACAAACTCCTTGCAGTTTTTGCTGAGACAGACAAGCACGTCTACCAGTCTGAAACCTGAGCATACCTGACAATGGTCCACATTGAATTGTGTCCTGTGTTAATGATTAACTACAACTTCAAGTCTACCAACTATCAGTGAATACTTTCTGAAAACTTCTTAACTTGGCATGGATAAGAGCACATTTTACAGATGATAGATAGATACAGACAGACAGACATTATTGTCCATGGTATATTTTAATAATCTGGTGCATGTTAATTAAATAATATTGGACAAAACAAAAGGAAGTTTCTAGGATATTCCCTAGTAATACTTTTTTAAAAAAGAAGCCAAGTGGCATTTCTGCATACGAGTGATTTATTATTGTAATATACTGGGAATTTAAAAAATACATAGCCAAAATATTTTAGCAATACAATTAATTTTTTTCAAAAAAAATCAGCCACTGCGATTCTAATGCTATCACTCCAGAATCAAAGCAATTCTGATGGAAACTGGCATAGTCTTGAATTGCACTACTGTCAAACATGAAGAAAGATGAGAAAACTATCGACAATTATTCTTTACCATCGAAATCAGTGAAATAACATTGCAATAACATAATATGTTATTTATGTAGGCTGACCACAAAGTAATTCTATATGCTGTATATTCATAGGAACTTAAAATGAAATTAAAGGAATAAACGTCCCATAAGACACAAAGTAAGCTCCAGTGAAATTTAAACTAACAAACTTATTTTATGGAAAGTTTATCATTGTGTCTAAGTCATTCTAACTGTCTTTCACCACTTTCAATGCTAGCAATAAATGTCAGTATCTCATAGCTATTTATACCTTCCCACGTCCAGGTTATGAAACAAGTTTAATCACAGTATGTGACATTACAAAGGCCATAAATTCCACTGCAACCTGCGTAATCCATGGTGCTTTCAATGTCACAGCCTAACATTATACATTTTGGGCTACTTCAGTTCTGAGGATTTCATAGACAAAGTATTTTTAAAGGTTAGTTTAAACTTATTTGTGCATTGAATGCCCTTCTATTGTAGCTATTATTTATTACTGTTGCACTTAGGATCCCAATCAGGGACCCTATTGCACTAGATGCTGCACAAACACGGAACAAAAAGCCAGTTCCAGTGCTAAAGAATTTACAATCTGAGTATAGACAAAAGATAACAGATGGAAATAAACTCACCCCACAAATGAGTATAAGGAAACAATGTGACATTTTGGTCTGTAAGACATGCAGTGGTCTCAGAACGCCAGCAACCTAACTGTTGTCAAGTTTTTTGTAGGCCTCATGACAAAGATGAGTTCAAAGGAGGGTTTTGGAGGAGAATAATTACTTTGTTTTGAGGATGTTTACAGGAAGTTTCTCCCATGCATAAGGAGCTGCTTGATTAATGGAGGCATTCAGAAAGTGAACATAAAGTGGGGCTTAATTCTGCTTTTATTTTTGCTTTGAGAGTTTTAAAGTGGCAGTTAATTAAAAAGCCCAGGCAATTCATAATAATTTAAAAAGCAGAAGAAATATTTAATAAGAAGCATATTTTGGAAAGAGTTGTTCATGGCTAAATAATTATCCATTTGGAATGGTATAACTTTTAGTTTCACAATAATTATCGATAAATTATGGTATGGAACACTTAGAAGGACAATGGACATGTCTATAACCTGTCAGCAAATATCACACGACAGGTTTCCTCTAAGATGGCAAACAGATGTTGAAAAACCACTTTTAATAATCAAGCTAACAAGGTGGTTAAATAAGAATCATTAACAGATTAATCATTTTGGGGAAATTATTATTAGGGCTGCTTCAAAAAATGTCCATGAAAATTGGGTTTTTAACTGACTACATTTTTTCACATATAAGGTCTGTTTTGTGCAGAAAACGTTGGTTTTTTTGTTTAACAACATGATTGCCAAAAATGTAAAAGCTGAAAACCAAAATCTTTCAACTGGAAATTTTCTCTTTGGTTACATGGCAACAGTGCCTCCTGGTAGTTGAGTCTGATGAGGCTGGGCTTCTGTAAGACTCTATACTTCAAAATAATACACTGGAACCCCAATATTAACCATGGTACTATTACTATGGTACGTTTGGTACAAAGCAAGCCTTGCAAGGTATCATTTTTAAAGTCCTAATCTTTGTTGGATTTTATGTATTATCACGGTATGTGAAGTTATGAAGTGTTACTGAAATATACTGAGAAGTTGGGAACATCCATAACCATTCTTTCAGATACAACAAAGAAGTATCCATTAATAGTCTGATGGCATTAATGACTCCAACATATGATCCACTGTCCTAGAGACTTCTCAGAAAGACCAGGCAGGCAATGGAATCTGCCTGACCAATGAGGGCCACAAACCCCCACATCATAGCAAAGATCTTTCCAAATCTTTCTCATAAGAAAATATGAAAGTCAGTGGCATCATCACTTGGCCTCTCTCCTTCCCATCTCTCTTGTTCTTCCCCAATCCCTGGAGGGAAATCTGGAAGACAAAGATTTTGAACTGGAAGGTGGTCCCAGTTTGGGTACTGAACATCTGAGACCTGCGTGTGCCATCTGTCAGACGGAGACACTACTTGATTCAAATTCTATTTAGTTTGAAGAATTTAGGCTGCACAATTATTTTTATTTCATAAGTAACCAACTTTTGTTTTGACACTTGTCACTTAGTCTATCTTTCTGTCATTAATAAACATGTTTTATACTTTATCTAAAACCGTGCTTTAGCTGAAGTGCTTGGGATATCTCAGCTCACTTTATAAAGGGTAGTGTGTGTCCACTCCACAGAGAGGGAATGATGAACTGGAGAATAAATTTATACCAGCCAGGCCTCTGACCAGTGCAAGACTAGAGAGTTTTGGGGTGAGAGACAGAGGAACTAGGTGGGGACTGACTGGAGCCTTGTTATTGTTTAGTTCATGAGTGGCTGGAAGAGCATTCATGTACCTCAGTTAGGTGCATCCTTGCCAGTGGATGGCTATGGAAGTGCAGTGCCTGCAAGAGATGTATATAACTTGACATCAGCTCTGCAGTGTGATGACCAATGCAGGTTGGTGGGAGAGAGCTCAGTCTCACAGTGCGGGTTTTTCTCTGGGGACTCTTTCACAGCTTCCCAACCAGACTTTATCTCCCAGGGTACAGCATGACTATGGAACTCCCATGAAGCACCACTTTCCCTCACCCAGAGAGGATACCATGTTGCATTGTGTACTCTTTGGAGAATGAGGGGAGTGTGGAGCACCCATGTTATAACTCCTAAGAGGCAGCATGTCATTGTTTCAAAATCAAAATATTTCAGTTTTTGATTCTTTTGCTGAAAAGCCAACTGCAATGGGGAAAAAAGGATTTTCTGACCAGCTCTAGTTATTATAAGTCATCTTTTGTGAACAATGATCTGGCCTTGATGCTTCCATTGCCATTCTTTTAAATAAGACATCTTATAGTACTGTAATCTATATAACCATGTTTTATAAAATTCACTAAGTAAAAAACAGTCACGGTGTGGGAAATAAGGCACTACTTCATTGGATGTACACACTGTGGAGCATTAACTAAAATCTGCAAGGCTACATCTATATTGGCAAGATTTTGTGCAAATACTCTTTAACGCAAGAGTTTTTGCGTTAGAGTATTCGAGTAAGAAAGCGTCTACAGTGGCATGTGCCTTTGCACAAAAGATGTGCTTTTGCTCAAGAGCATTCATGCCAGTGTAGATGCTGTCTTGTGCAAGAAAGCTCCGATGGCCATTTTAAATATCGGGCTTTCTTGCGCAAGAAATTGATATTGCCTGTCTACACTGGCCTCTTGCGCAAGAACAGTTGCTCAAGAGGGCTTATCCCTGAGCGGGAGCATCAGAGTATTTGTGCAAGGAGCACTGATTTCATTCATTGCAACTTCAGTGTTCTTGAGCAAATACTCACAGGCAGTATAGACAGGTGACAAGATTTTGCGCAAAAGCAAAATCTTGCCAATGTAGATGTAGCCCAAGAGTCCAGCATCATCCAGGCAGAGCATTGTTTCTTCAAAGAAATCAAAATGGACTAATTGAGTTCAGTGGAGTTATACCAGGCCCATCAAAGGAGA